CTTGTTGGTTAATGTATATTAGTAATTTGACAAATCGACCAACCAAAACACTACAAATTAATGATGATGACAAAAATGATGACAATTTTTTGTCACCAAAATCTTTGTCTGATTAAGTTTTGTTTTATTTTTTCTTGTCGTGTAAGTGTAGAACAAGGTTCTTGAGTTCAAAAAGATTGTTAGAGCAAGAGAACAGGTAGTTGCTGGAACGATGTACTACTTAACTCTAGAAGCAAATGAAGGTGGGCAGGTGAAGAACTTCGAAGCCAGAGTTTGGGTGAAACCATGGATGAACTTCAAGCAGTTACAGGAGTTTAAGGAATCATCTTCTTGAACATTCACTTGTATTATATGGATAATCTAAATGTTTCTCATAAATTATATGAAATACATAAATCTGAGATAGCTTTGTGTGCTTAAGACAAAATCTGAAGTTAATGTAATCAAGAACTGGTTCTGTTTTATTCTGCTTATATGTAGTATATTGACAAAGACGAAGAAACCATAAGCAGAAGACATGTTAGATTACATATCGAAAGGCAGACGTTTATACAGATCAGAAGGTAACCTAGGCGTAGCCACAGCTTGAACAGGAACACGCATGTAAGTAACTAGTCCAGGATTTTCAGACAAGTCAAGCTCCTCTGGTTTAGTACCTTGAGGTGGTGTCCAAACGAAATGATGAAGCAAATGACTCATCATCGAAGTCACAAGATTGAAACCAAGTTGTGCACCGGGACAAACCCTTCTTCCTGCTCCAAAAGGAAGCAACCTAAAATCATGACCTTTCATGTCAACATCTTCTTCCAAGAACCTCTCTGGTCTAAACTCTAATGGGTTTTTCCATACGGTAGGGTCTCTAGCCACTGCCCAAACGTTCACATGGATGTTTGATCCTTTGGGAATGTCGTAGCCTCCTATCTTGACGGAGGCGTTGGATCGGTGTGGAAGCATTAGAGGCGTTGGAGGGTGGAGAAGTCTGGTATTGTAAGGTTAATGGTGTTTAGAGATTTGATTAAGGAGTTTAATGAGACGTTAGAAATTTTAAGGTTTACATTTGAGTCACGTTTCTCAGTTTCGTAGTTAAGAAAATGTAAATAATCATTACACGAGGAGAAAACAGTTGGTTCTTACTTCAGTACTTGTGATATAACCTAGAAGTGATCAATTTTCTTACTAGACAAGTAATAATGATGTATCAGTTTTGTAAACTGCAGTGTGGGAAAACGATTTTCAGATAACACACCAATATAATAATCCAAATGTTTTTACAAACATACAAGCTGTTGAGATACTACAAAAAATGATTCCATTACAATAAAGGCTATATAGCAAAACAAATTTGCATCAGATTAAAGCTTACTTGATCTTTGGATCGATCCTCCTCACTCGCCTCTCGCATTTGTAGTGTCTTTTGTATATCACAGCCTAACACACAACTCATACTTTTCTTCTCGCTTGATTGTCCACTCGTGTCAAAGGTCTTATCTCTGCTGCTGTAAATGTGTTTAGCAACACAGAGACAGCAAGTACACTGGTGTATTAAGATGAACCTTAAACAGAGTTTATAAAGTTTCAACACACACATCTCTTGTATAGAGTATCTACAATCTGCTACAATCTCAAAACTACGCCGTTTTATACTCCAACTCTATTTATTTGATGTCTAGCAACATTGTTCCTAGAGCAAGAAATATAAAAATTTGAAAATCACCAAAACTGATATATAGAATTTGTAACCATTAGAGTTTTATGTATAGATCACATACATGAAAAGAAAATTTGAAAAAAAAAATAAATTTAGGGGTTCAAAATGACATTTTAGTGTTCCCCACTCTCACTTGAGCGAGTGAACAACACAGCTTACCCTTATGTGATTCTCTTTTTGAAACACACCAAAGATAAATATAACTATTGAGCTTTTAGTTTAAAATCCAGAAGATGGAAAATAGCATAGAAAGTACTAGAGTAGAAGGTTTTATTTCATAAAGATAAAAACAAAATAAAGCATGTAATTGTTTCTCCAGAAGTAGAGCCGATCGAGATAGCTTTTCTATTCTTCAGAAACTATCTTGTCTTTTGGGAGGGGCCAGCCAGTATAACGTTGACGAGGGTGGCGAGTGTATATTCCCTTCGAGGGAATAACCTTAACAAATATTTTGCTTCCTCCCATGTAGGAAGCATCAAGATCCAGCGCCTTGTCTTCTGCACCTTTTCCATAGAGAAACACAAAAGCTAGACCACCAATGCTCTTGTGAAACATGATATCCCTGATCTGTCCACATGAGGAGAAATGATCAGACAACATTTTTTTGATATCAATGTTATCAAGACAAGTGTCATATCCTTGAACAACAGCAACAGTGTCCCAGTCTGCTTGTTCCATAAAAGGATAAGGCTTAACAATGACATTCCATCCTCCCACGTCGGTTCCACTAAGTTGCATAGCCTTGTCAACTGTGCCTTTTCCTCCCAAGAAATAAATATAACCAAAACTGTTGAGAGTATTATTGTTCATGAGTACGCGGACAAAAACATCTGTGATCTCTCCACATGAAGAGAAGTGTTTTCTCAAAGCGTTTTCCACATCATCACGGGGAAGGTCAGTGTTATATCCCATTACACGAATTCTCCCAATATCGCGTTTTCTTGGCCTGGTGCTTCTCTTAGTAATTTCCTTTTCGTTCAATGTCAGTAGAATCATTCCTCTTGCTGCGGATCTCTGGAGAGATGTGAGAAGATCGGCTTAGCTTTAGCTAGGTTTTCGAGGGCGGCGACCTCCTTATGTGATTCTTTCTCTTTTGATTTTGACGTGTTTCAACATTTTTCGAAAAAACCAGCGAGTGAAGACACAAAACCAATAATATCTATGCCGCTGGTTTAGTAAATGATTTTAGGTTTTGATAACCCGGTTTAGTTATTAAAATCAAATTCCAAAACCAGAACCGTTCTTTCTTCTTTTTCTTAGTCATCATCATCATCACACGGTTACAAACGCAAGCAACATGAAACCCTTCGCCACGAATCGCGATCATCTCAAAAGCAAAATCCCCACCACTCTCATCAAGATCTCCGCCATACTTCTCGCCACCGTCTCCTTCTTCTACTTGGGGAAGCGGTTGTCCTTAAATTTTAGTTATTTTTATAGCAAATATCATTTTTAATTATATTTTTTTAAGCTTATAAAAGATTTGCCCCCACAAAAATATAATCCTACACTAGATTTTGACCCGCGCTTAAAAAGCGCGGGTTTATTTTTGAAATAAAATAAACTCTTATAAATGAATTTTTATATAAGATAATGCACATGTTATATATTTTTCCAGGTGAACCGAACCGTAACAAACTGGAAAAAAAAAACA